TAACACTTTATGTGAGAAGGCTGGCAATTGTATAGCAGCATGCTTATACAGCGAAACTTGCTCAGGGAACTCAGCGAAGAAAACCTGAACTTTGTGTGAAATGCAAACTTGTTTTCAAGAGTTGATCTCCCTCTTTCCCTGTTTCAACACACACATGTTATAAATTATTTCTGGCACAAATATATTTAAAAATAATACAGAGATCAGACAGAAAGTAATCGAACAAGTAGAATGAAATTGGTGATTACATGAAACTGCGGGTGTTTTTGTTAGAATACTAAAAGGAGCTATTATTAATTTTAACAAAGTCAACCAACAATGACAACTTCTTTATACAACAATGATGAGATAAAATGCAACGATGACTCTGAAAATGCAACATTTAAAATAAATTAAGTATATAAGATTTAAAGTATCGCAATGTGTCTACACGGTGTCTCAGACATTATCCAAAAACTGATAGTGCGAAGTCTGTATAATTACGCCAATAACGTTATTGATTTATAATGTCAAATTTTGAACTATTTCTAGATACCAATGAGAATAATAGAAGCAACAAATACGACATTTTACTAGACGACTGAGGCTATTTAAGAATGCAGAAGATGCAAGTCAAAATGCAAAATACGAGTGCTCTAATGATGGGGAAAGCTCCATAAAAATATGTTTGGCACAAACAAGTTAATATAGTCAAATTATATATATATATATATATATATATATATATATATATATATATATTTAATATGTAATCAGTTTTCTTGTTACTAATTGTCCCACTCTCCGGATTAAATTAAATTTTCTGATAATGGAGAGTATTTTTTTATGATTAATGTAATTCATGCTCTACATTATAATAATTGAAATCCTAAATACCAACGTTATTTCGACGACGAAAATAGTGCGAGCACACACTGACATATATTGTTCAATATCACAGATGTTTCATGTCAATATGTAGGGATTTGCGGATGATTAATTTCACGCGTTGATACGTACATGCAGCAGGCAGGTGCAAATATATTTCAATTTTGTGGAATGGCATTTAAAAACGAAGGTTACGCTCTCTGTAGAATATTGCGAAGTTTTGCGCTCGTTAAAAATGCTCTCTTAAATGCATTCTTCAGGTGCTTCATAATTTTTGAACGTTTTATTTTCTTTATGTGAGTTCATGCTAGACCCTTATATTTTGGGTGTCTTCCAACAGCCACATATTTGAAGATAGAGATTGTTCTTCTCAATGTAATATATTCTTCAAAATTAGAGATTTAAATAAGGCTAAGATTTTTTTTTAATTTAGTAATTTACGGGTACATTACATGAAGCAAATTTTCTCAAACACATCTCCAATTTATTCTTTAAACTTCTTGAATCGATAGAAATAAATTCACTAAAAATGGTAATTTTCATGTAATCTTCTAATTCATAAAACTTTATAAACGTATGTTCAAGTAGCATTTCGTAGTATTGCGTAACCGATACGCATAATGCGATAAAGTGCGTGACGTTATAGCAGTACTTGTTGAGATTTCACTTTAATAAATTGTTTAAAGCCCATAACCGACACGTGTAAGAATATTTTAAATAATGCGGAACGGAATGTCAGCATTATCAATGTTACAACTTTTCATTGCGCGCATAAATTGAAATATCGTTATGCTGACCCAGGCCATTTAAGAGGTGTCTATTGTTTTGTAAGATACCCAGGAAATCCTAAGAAATAAAAAATACATATTTATAACATTCAATACGTGCATAAATTTAAGAAAGACGTAAGCAAATAACATTAGTATTTCAAAATTCTTATGAACGGTGTACCGGCATAATTCTCATGCTTAATGCGTTACTGCGTAAGACACAGATGACCGACTTCGACAGCAGGGCTCCAAGAAAGAGGCGTTTGCAATTAAATGTTTGCTATTAAAGTTGCGCATTATGGAACAAGAGCAATTTTACATTCTTGCATGCAAAGAATTTATGTATTGTGCATTCACGTATAGTATACCATGTTATTGCAGTTCGTGAAGATTGTTTTGGTTAAAATATTTAATTTCTTGCTGTGTTGTACGAAAGTATTTTATTTATTGTTCTAGACCAGTGTGCGTGATACTTTTTAGTAAACCATTTTGTGTGGTTTTCTTCAGCATTTTTGTTGCCGAAGAATACAAGTATTCACTAAAACCTTCTTTTTATACTGTACGTTCCATTAAATTCAACAATCGTTAAATTGTTATCACTCTGGAAAAAATAATTGCGAAATTGCCCCAAAAATTACTGCATTATCACCATAACAAACAATGAATGTTTACGCTAAACTCTGATTCGGGACGCGAATGTTACGCAACGATGCTTATGCAATCCATAAAATTCAAATTGCTTTTAATTCCGCAACTCCAGATAGGACGCCTTTTTGCTTCTGCAGTGGAACACTTTTTACAGTTCATAAAAGCATCTATTTCATTCACTAAATGCCGATGGGTTGCAAATTGATTAAACATCGTAAACTTTCGTTAAGATTTCGGTAATATGTGCTACCGTATGAATTTGCTAGAACTTTGTATTCAAAGCATCTTCGGAAAGCAGTTTATACAAATACAATTTTGTGAATAAAGATGATTTTGGTAAAGCAGCTTTAAGGGTCAATATTGCCTTTACTCATTAATCTCATAATTATCTTCACTGTTTTCTTGTTTGCCTGACAAGATATGTCTAACGATAGGGAGCATTCATGCGAATGAAATCGAAATACTGCCGTATATTGTTCATTAAGCAGACACTAGCTCAGATCTTGGAAAATCATGGCAATGACGGTTACTAGGTATTGGCAGGTTCAAACGTGTGCACAAATTAATTCTGTGCACATTACCTTTCACAGCTCTTAAGAAAAGAAGAATAAAAGTCACCTTTAAAGCGTTTTGGAAAACATGTTGCTGTATATGATGCGCCTTAAGGAAACTGCAATTGCCAGGATGCAGCCAATTCCCCATGCGAAAACCGGACACCACTGGTTAGAACAACCTCGGACAATGCGAAATTGTAGAGAGTTCGTAGGGCGCCGTGGATGTGGAGGTGGAATAATATGAACAACGGTGGCGCGTGGACGGAAAGAGCATTCAGTCGACGATGCGAATAGTATTTCTCAGGTTAAGAGACGATCAAAGTATCTTGACGTCACGCAAATAAATTACTCGGATCAGCCAGCACACGTTCATTAGAGAATGAAGGCATTTGAAACTCCGACACCCAGTACACACGCTTATCACAGAATGGCGTCATCCGCTTAAAAGCCTTCTCGCCTATACCGGAGCCGTTCTTCTTTGGCGTCGGCTAGCGTGAAAACTGAGTGGTTTTGGAATGCAAGTATGTATGTACTAAATGTACTGTATGAACTTGGCACGACAGCCCGTGAACGGGCTCAGGCCTACCGGCGACGTCTGACGTCCCTGCCTCGCGGTCATGGTAAAGGGTGTACGTGTGGTTAGCACATAGACAACCCCTCACCGTATTCCGGTCTTCTCGACCTGAGAAGTGAATTTTTTCATATACTGTGACATCGCAAGTAAAACGCACACTATAGTCTTGGCTCGACCAGGAATCGAATCCGGGGTCGCATAGTGGAAAGCAAGCACGCTGAACAAGAAGAAAGTTTTGTTGAATTTATTATTATATTAACTCGCGGTTGTATTCACAATTTTCAGTATTTCTTAACATTACTTGAAGTATCAAAATCCCTCATGAATCCTGCGTTTTAATTTGCTTCAAACAATGTATTGAACACATTTAAACAGTGAAATTATCTTATGAATTGGGTTACAGGCAGAATTGCAGTAGTCATTGCATAGTCGCTGACTGAGATGTAGGACGAAGACGTGTTAAGGTCGCGGGCAAGGTAACAGGCTAGCGCTCGCAGGCACTTTGTCAAGGGAAATTGGCGCAAGATTTAAAAGTAAGGGTTGTACCTCTGGGGTGGCGGTACATCACTGGCTACCTTGACCATGAGAGTCTTTAGGAGAAGTGACATGGCTCAAATTGTCACAAACTTAGCTACATTAATTCCAATTTTCTTTTTAAGGCAAAGAAATGATCCGTTAAAATGAAATAATACAACAGTCAAATTTCAAATTCCCAATTGAGAGTATCTTTTTAAGAAATGAATCCGAAGAATATTGATTTTGTAATGATGTTTACTTAAGAGTAAAAAAATAAATGATCTACGTTAAAGATAAAAGGTGAACTACACTAACGGGACTAATCATAGCAGTTTACGCGCTCGGAAACATTAATCAAATCAATTAATCCTACTGAGATAGCACATTCGTACATACAAAACTTGGATATTTATGAATCAATTAGCTATACTTTCCTTTCATTGGGTTTTTGCCATCTTGAATGATGTTTACCACAACTTGCAGCGTTCAAAGAAGAAAACCTGAAACATAACTTCTACAACACATATCCCTAAATAAATATGTTCCTGGTAAATCAGAAAGGAATAAAACCCTTAAAGCATCATCACAGTCTTATCTCTTGTGTCATCAGTGTGTCATTTCCTTGACTATTGACCAAATCTATCGTGGTCAATTCAGACGTCTTGCGAGGTAGCAGATAATGTGCCCAGAAATATAAATCAATCATTTTGTATCAGTATTTAAATGTATTTATTTAAATATTTTGAATATATAAATAATAGATTTTGTTTCTGTCAATTTCTGTATTATTGTTTTTATTTGCCGCACAGGAGATTAACACATTGCGATTGAAAATTATTTACGATTCAATACAATTTCTTATGATGAGACTAGGTCTTTTTAACTCCAGGTTTTTAGATATCTGTCGGGTAGTTGTGTCTTTTATGCTACCACTGTCCAAGTCAGCTTGGTTTTGTTCCTAGAATAAACAATACTCGTTTATAATCGTTTAAAGAACTCTATCAGAATGTTTAAATCTTAGATTACATTCAATACCTTGCTGAGTATGAATGAAAAAATTACGTTTTCAATTATGAAGTTTTCTTCATAATTCTGTTCGTTTTTCTTTGTAAATTAATTTCGACTTTAGCTTCGCCTGGTAAGATTTCTGTCGATGAAATATATTGCCTAAAAGATAGTTCATGTCTCCCTTTGTACAATTTCATAAATGAAATTAAGAGTGATAAAATGCACATGCGGAACCTACAAATGGATAATACTTCCGCCAAGTTTAATGTACAAATGCAAGCAGCAGTACCTCTGGTTTTTCAACTCGCTAATTCACGGTCATTTTAGCTGCAATTCTTCTTTCGTTTGCAATAAATAATAGTAGCTCTAATAACATATCATTTCAACATTAATATATACTTGACGCCTGAAGTAAATTCTTTTCTATCAGTCAAATTCACATCCAGAAGCCGATATAGAAATATAACAACTATTATGTAATAAGCACACTTGTGTATTTATTGCAATTAACAATTACATTTTAGAATTTCAATATTCATTTTGTATAGCACCACCAGATGATCTTTGTGTAGTTTGAGACTTAAAATGGAAAATATTTGTCATTAACTGAGCTCAACGAAGATCTTCATGCTTGAACTAAACTCTGAAATAAATACGGTATAAACAATAGTTAAAAAGTGTTTATCCCAATAATATGGGTAGTGTACTGAGAACATGTACAACATATTTTTCGTGTTCGGGCAAGTAATACACTGAAATTTGTTATTTAGGTCTGTAACGAATCGACCTCTTATAGTAATTATATTCTCTGATAAAATTGACTTCAAATTCCCAAAGCAAACCGCTGCCCTCCGTCTAGCCGAACCACTGTGAGGAACATAGCTGAAAGCCGTCTATTCTCATCCATCTCTAGCCCGAACACCACAGAACAATTGAGATTATGCTTGAGTAGCTGGAAGAATTGGAGGGGGGCGACTGAGGGTCCAGTCGCGCTGTGGCTAGGGCTATCGCCGGTCGACTGGTGCCTCTGCGGCAGGGACGACCTCGTCTGCGGCGGAATCGGACGGTGCGGCGACGGCGGCGGGGGCGGGGACAGGAACGGGAGCGTCGGCCGCGGGGGCGGCGGCGGCTTCGGGAACAACTGCGGCGGCTTCGGGAACAACTGCGGCGGCGGCCGCGACTTCGGGGACAGCTTCTGGGGCGGCGGGAACGACATCCCCCATCTTCTCGGCGTCCATCTTGTCGGCTTCCATCTTGTTGGCGTCCATCTTGTCGTCGGGTCGGCGCAGGCGCTCCAGCTCGTCCCGCGTCGACACGCACGCTGCGGAGCAAGTGAAATTAGGACTAGTGGTACGCACTTTGAGCAGACATTTGCGTACCTTTGTGGAGTGCAAGTGCGTAGTTGAGAGCGCCCAGATTCACTCTATTTTCAGAAGTAAATAATATGTAGAAATCGGAAGAACACTACGCGTAAATCACAAAATAAAAATGAAAATGAAAACAATGATGCAAAAAATTGTTTGTAATGCAAGAAAAGTAAAGTATTGAATTATCACTTAACTTCTTTCAATATCAAAAAGTAAAAACAAAGCTTTTAAAATATTTTAAATATATTTTTTCGTAAAGGAAACATGTTTAGGAAAAATAAATTAAAAAACACGAGAACCACAAATCTGAACCAATTTGAAATTTAAAAAATGTAGGAGTTCATAAAAGAGTTAGAAATGCTCAATACCAATGTGCACTATGCAAAAGAAAAGCAACTGCCAAAATCGTATAAAACGACATGATAAAAAACAGGACAGAAAGGGCTGGTAGAATCAGAGGGGATATTTGCAAAAGAAAATAAATCAATTAACCAACATGGGGAGTTCTTTCAAGAAATACAGACATATTTTTTCTTGAACGGTTCAAAGAAAATAATAAAACTATTCGGAGGAGAAGACCAAGACTAAGAATGCTGGAATAACTGAAAGAAAAGAAAGTAACAGAATTTCTTTTGAAAGAAAACAGATGAAATTGAGATTTTTGGAAACCAGACACGACAAGCAGAAACAAAAGAAACTGGTTCAAGTGAGAGGGAGACAGAGGAAAAACGATTGGAGAACGTGGAAGGGAAATTAACAAGATGATGAGGCAGAGGAGGAGGAGGAGCAGGAGGAAGAATAGACGAGCGCACAGGATAGTGGAGAGAGAAAGAAAAGAAAAGCAAAAAAGAAAAAAGGCAAGAAAAGAAAAGCAAAAAAAGAAAAGAAAAAATAAAAGAGAAAGAAAACAAAAAGCAGAGAGTTTGAGAGGGCAAGTACTGACCTCTGCGCGAGGGCCCCCAGCCGACGCGCTCGCCCGTGCGAGCGTTCTCGGCCTTGAGCCACTCGTAGAGGGGCTTGAAGTAGTCGAGCAGCCCCGACGCGTCCATGCGCCGAGACCCCGTCACCGCCTCCAGCGCCTCGGGCCACGGCCGGCTGCTGCCCAGCTGCAGCATCGCCCTGTGGACAACGCGCGCGCCGGTTACACTCTTATGCAGCGGACAAGAGCGTGGCTACGTCCTCAGGGGGTCAGTAGCAAGTCTCTTTCAGTGACGGTACTCATTCAAAAGGAGGGGGACTATAAGTAATCCTACAGCGTAGTGATCAATATACAGAGTGTGTTTTTGAATCCCACCTAAGGAATGCGACATTCAAAGGTCGTGAGTTTGTATCTCCAGATTAGGAGATGTAGCCATTTAATATTTCCATACTCTGTAATTGAATCATTTTCAGAAATCCGCCGAAGGCCAAAATCTAAAACCCGCATTACCGGTGGATTATTGTTCGAAGAGGATAGATACATCGTTATGTTTATATGAAAAATATTCATTTATCAACTGCTTTAATAAATAAACAGATTTTGAAATCAGATATTTGAGAGAATTTTTCTCCGTTTTTTCGAAGTAAGGAATTTGGCGTTTGACGGGTTTCTGAAATACACGATTCAATTGTCTTGCCACATGCGGTGAAAATATAGCTGAGGTGTAAATGGGGAATGCTCCTTCGTTTACTGCGAGTTTCGATTTTATTTATTACTAGTAAACCCGGCAATGCTCCGCTATTGCGATCTATGACACTTCACACGCTACTGGTCACGTGATTGTTGATCACGTTTTACGCAATTTAAACTTTTAATAGACTAAGAACTTTCTTCAGTAAATCTATGTTTTGGGTTGGGCATGGTAGTCACGTATCCTATCGTTAAAACGTTCTCCCTCAACTTTGGGCATACACCGCCATGACAGTATCTTGAAGAAATTTGATTATCTTATTCGAGAGAACTTTTATATAATAATTCTGGCCGAAATTTTATAATCGCAGAGGGATAATATGAAGTTAAGACGCGTTTAATACTCGAGGGTGCGGCGGGTTGCGTAGAGCTCCTGGACAGATCAGCACAAACGCATTAAATCATCGCCCCATTTTACGTCTACGTACAACATACCTACGCACATTTTCGTTGTTATACGCCAATAGCCTTTGCGCAAATGTAAGGAATCAGTCGACAAAGTTTTATCGCAATCCAATGAACGGTACGGCAGCGAACAAAATACAAAGCAAACAAACAGTAATTTTATATATTAGATTACAACAAGCGTAAGGCGTGGGAGTGGTTACATAATAAGAATTAAGCTCTGGAAATAAACCACAGACTGAAGACAAATGCTTAAACAATACATACCTTGCACACAACTGCTGAAAATAGTTGAATACCTATACGAAATTAGACTTGAATGTATGCAAGTTAATGCAACATGTAAACCCGAGTATCTATTCTGAGCTTGCGATAAATATCATAAAAAGAGCAAGAATGATGCTAATACACTAGGTGCAGTCGACTTGTTCCCTACAGATTCAAGTCTCGAGTTCCAGTCTGACAGGTGAATGAATGATCAACTCACTTGAGCTTGTTCCCGGCGGCAGTGCTGCCGTAGATGTCGCAGGCGTAGAGGGGCTTCATAGGGTCATTGGGGTCAAACTGACCTGCCTCCAGGCACAGCGCGCGATGGAACTGGAACTGAATGACGTAGCTCACGAAGTACCTACGGAAAAAGCACAGTTCCTGTCACATTGCATATTGATGAGGTGTTGTTAAGAGTTTTATTAAAAGTGTTAAAAAATTCATTTTTAACAAATTATAATAAAGTTGAAAGTTTGTTTTGATTACTAACCGATCTTCTTAAAATTACGAATTTTACAACAACTTTAAAAGTATTTCAGTTATTAACAATTAAATTAAATTTAAGAAGTGTTACTTATGAAGGACACAGAATAAACCATTCAATAACGAGTAAACTCAAACGCAATGTAATATAAAAGTTATTTTAACCCCTAGTAGTTACGATTCGTAACTTTGGGACAAATGTGTAACCAGAATAAGAACATTAATATGAGCAACATACCTGATGTACGGTACACTGGCCACAATGTGGTATTTTGCACCGGGGTCGAAGTCCTCTTCAGTACGATCAACCGGTGGTTCGATGCCCTGGTATTGCTCCCTGGAAACAGAAGATGCTACATAGAGACGCGCGTGATCAATGAACTTCATTTCATAACTTAAGATACACATCTTTAATCGAAATCGTTTCGGGCTACGTGTAGGGAAATTGAGTTCTGGGCAGAATTTCGAGTTAAGTTAGGATTACATTCAAGAACTCCAGAGACAAATTTGTTCAAAATCTGTAATAAACCGAAGAGAATATGCAAAAGTAAGTATTCTTTCTCATAACTAAACATTGAAACAAGTTTGAGATGTTTTGAGAGGGGAAGAAATGAAGGAAATATTCTATCTCGCGAAATAATCCTTATTACTAATGAATATATAAGTAGAGAAATTTTGGAGTCTAGTTATGATGGAGTAATTATCAGCATTCAATGATGAAAGGGGTTATGTAAGCTTTAACTTTATAGGAAAAATATCCTTATAAATAGTAAATATAAGATTAGGCCCAAAAAGTTTTAATTATCCGCATAAACGGTAAACGTAGGATTACGTATCCGCATAAACGGTAAACGTAGGATTACGTATCCGCATAAACGGTAAACGCAGGATTACGTATCCGCATAAACGGTAAACGTAGGATTACGTATCCGCATAAACGGTAAATTTAGGACTAAGAATCAGTTCCTTTAGGATTAAGTATTTCGCCGAAGAGCGAGTCGTTCGCACCTGAGCCTCCACCAGCGGCAGTTGTACTCGTCGGAGGTGACGCTGCCGTTGAAGACGTCCCAGCGCCACAGGTCCATGAGGTAGGCGTAGGGCAGGAAGGCCACCTTCTGCAGCGCTTGCAGGAAGAGATAGTTGAGCGCCGAGGCGTCGTCGTCGCGCGGGCCCTCGTCCCGCAGCAGCCCCACCTGGCGCAGGTGCTTGGGCGTCGACACCGACAGCGACATCACGTCGCCCACCGCCTCGTGGAACCCTGCACGACACACACACATTGTTACTGGCCGGGGTGAGGGTGCGGATCGTCAAGTTTTGTCAGGGGGGGGGGACTTTCATTCTAGTTAAATGTTGTCCAACTGTACCCACGGTGCCATTTATTGTAGCCAGCGAAAGGTAATTAGTCAAAAGTGAAAGTCTTTCATACATGCAACACATTTAATGTAAAAATTGTTTGTCTTAACATTTGTTTTCAAGTGCATTCAGAAATTCTAAATCCTTCCAATGTGTTTCACTGCGTTATGCATGGTACGGTCTCATATCTATGGTGCCATTTCTTCCCCCTTCCCCCCACCGTATCACAGCACACGGGCAAAGTACCGAGATCAACAATAAAGGGAGGTTAGGTGTGGCTCGCCAGAGTAATGAAAATACGGCCCGCAACCATATTAAAGGTTTTAAGTGTTGCCCGTGAGGCCTTAGAAGTTGGACATCCCTGTACTAGTTTATATAACTAGTTTATAATGTTAAGCTTTATTTCCTAAGTACGTGCTTTGAAAACGAGCGTGGTTACGAGTTCAGTTTCCAAATTTGTGCGACAAATCAATATTATAAACGAGTTGCATAGTTATTGTTTGTGTAACAGCATTATAAATTTATAATTAGATTCTAAATTATTTTGGAAACATCTTTATTGTGGCGTCTCGGATATTCGACATACGTATGAGAAAACTGTGGTCGATGTCCGTTTACCGCTTCCTCCTCACGATTTGCTGAATATGTGATAACATCAGTAAAATTCATGCCTTAAACTTCAGTCTGTGTCTTAAGGTAACATTTTATGAAGGACTTCTTGTAACGAAATAGGTCGTTTATTATGCTGGAATACAAAAAAAATTTTTTTTTAAATATACGAGTGAGTAGAATCATTACACTACCGTTATCTTTTTTTAGCAATTACGTATTTCGTAAGTAACACTCATGAGGCGATTCATTCATTTTGTCGATGTTTTCGTGTGCTTTTTTCGGTTTATTGTGAACTGGCCTGAGCTTCTTCCCGCCTCCCCTAATTGTTCTTGCGTTTGTACTAGGTCATAATAATCTAAATTTAGTATTTTTTAAAATATTTTTCCACCGGGCAAATTTTTCCACTTTGTTAGTACTTAAAAATATTTTGGATTATTTGAGTTATAATAAGTTTTCACAATAAACACTACGAATCAAAAATCACTTCTCTTGCATTTTACGTTGAAGATCTAAACTTAATACATCTGCAGCGCAGAATGAATTCCATGACGCAGGCCACCCATACACTCAATGACATAAGCGCTCAATTTGCACACTGTTAGCCGGTGATGATAGCCTACTAATAGATTTCCTGCTCGTCGCCTAAACGTTTAGTTTATGAGACCCCATGAAGTATTTGGTGAGAACAAACCCATTTCATCGCGAACTCCGGCGGGACCACGTTTTTTTACCATAAAAATGAATTATCTAAAGTACAAAAAAAAGCCAGAGCTTTAATTTTTTTATTAGTTTATTAGTAATTTTTTTGTTAATTCCATAGTACTGAAAGAGTGCACTTGGGAAAGTTTTTTTTCCTCTCTCCTCCTGTATAGGTCTTCCTTGATTTGAGCATTTCAAAGTGAAACTCAAAAGAAGCTCCTAGATACAAAACCAGGAATATGAACTAATAACAATTTGGTATAGTCAAGATAATTGATACTCACTGATAACAAAAAAATATTAATGAATTTTATTGTTTTGTTATATACAATAATAAATTTCTTTTTTCGCGCCTTTCATTAATTCTTAAGCCCAGGGGCGTAACTTTGCTGGTGCTACCAGTGCCACCCCTAAATAAGGAACACCGTAATTGGCAAAGAATAAAACAAATCGCACTCTTTGCTTATTTTCCCTTTCACGCCAATCATACTCATATCAATGAGATTTCAACCTTCTAAATATATTTTATTGCACATAAGGGCCTGAAATATTATACACAACTTTTTGGGCGTTTAAAACTCACGAAATTATAACTATATATTTATAGCGATTCTCTATCGCCCCAGAAAATACTCTCCACAATGCTCACTGGAGAATGTGGCGCGTTCTTAAAAAACGCTGAACACTTTGTAACCATTTCAAACAAAGAAAAATAGAAACTTATCTACTCATAAGCAGAATTGTCCGGCAATACTGAAAATCAATATTCTCATCTTTAATGCATTAATTTTCAGGTTTTTTATTGTAGTTGTGTATGCTGTAAATTTTGGAGAAAAATGTCATGAGCGGCCGATTAAATTAAACATATATTTTAAAATGGTTCAACGACACAAATAGGTTTGAATTTCTTATTTAAATTGTCGGGGGAAATTTGTTTTACACATCCTCAAACTCAGAACCGAATAACTAATTAATACTTAAATGATCACTTCCACTAGGTAAAATCACAGAATTGCAGGTCGGCAAATGTGAGTTAACACTCCAGAAATATTTTAAAATAATATTTTTTTAAAATTGTTTGCTTGAAATAAAAAATGTAAGAGTATATTTATAAAAATATTGGATGCAATATCTATTTGATAATTATTTGTTCAATACAAACAGAAATACTAAATACTTCAAAAACTAAGGACATCTATGTAACGAAGAGAGATGACCCCCTGCCCGGATCGGTCAGAACCCTTCATTCTCTTACCAGCTTTTCCCAAACCAGAATATACAGCCACAGACTGAATGACGTTGGCGAAGAACCTTGCGGCGGAGTGAGGAACCACACTACGACGTTCCTGTCTCTGCTCCTAGAGAGCGCGATGCACCGACGCGGGAGATCTGCGATTGGCGCGCATCCTGGCGGGCGACATGGCATTCACTCGTAAACGCAGGCATCACTACTTCGCGCGGAAAGGAATGTTACCAAACGAACGTGTTAGTTGTCACAGACGTATGCTGATTTGCTTATGGTTCTAGTGGGTCGAGCATTCTTCAAAATTCCGAGGAAACATTGTGAATGTGGGTGAAAGAAAAAAATTAGATTCTGGATGAGCGAGACATAGAAAGTGTCAGTTGAGCGAAGAGAGCTCGAAGTATCAAAACGAAAAAAGCGAAAAGAGTCGACTGTTCAAGACACGACTGATGCTAAATATGAAACTCAATTTAGTTGAATTAATGTTTGCGTCTTCACCGGAAATACCTCGAAATGTTGACCATGGAATTCGGAAAGACGATGAAACGTAAGATGAGAAGAGGTGAAATACAGAAAAGTTGTGAGAAAGGGATTTCTGCCAGTGACCTAATGAGATACATTCTGGAAGAGAAAAACGCGGAAAAATGAATGGTCTAAAAAACTAATGTTCAAGCGACGACAAAAAAAAAGAAGAATGAAAGAAAGAAAACCTGAACCCGAAGTCTTTTTCGTCGCTGATGAGCCTTATGTTACCCGAGATCATTAGTACCAATAAACGTAATTAGTTCATACAGAGTTTTATTTACCTAATTTTAATAATTGAGATTTACTTATTTAGAAATTGACTAAATGTTAACTTGACTCTGTTAGTCTTTTCACATTTCCCTCTTAGAATTCCCTCCATAAGAGAATATGTACCATATTCAGTTTTTTCCATATTTCCCACGTATCCACGCTCCTCTCAATCCAGGTAACGTATGCAATGTACATTGAGCTCCAAATCGAAGACCATAACAAACAGTAACGTATCAATAAAAAATAAAACAAAGTTACAATTTTCCGATATTTTTCCGCATCCGTGTATGGGTGAATTTGCATTGAACAGCGCTTGTTAAATGGCATGTGGAAGAATCATTCAACGACAACTGTCTTTTCCGAAAAAATTGGAAACCAAAATCGTCAAACTACTGTTTCAAATATTGAAATACTACAATTAAACGCAGAACTTTACGATAAAAAATAAACCAATGAACTTTACGTAGATGCGCAGAAGTTTTGATCTGTGCTTAAGGGTAGAGAAATGTTTTGTAATAAAATGTAAGATCTTATATATCTAATGTGATGTATCTCTATTAAAAAAATTTGAGGGAGGAAAGGTATTCATATTCACACTTATTACCCCATATAAGACAAGGGTTTTCGGACACCATTAAATAAAGAAGAAAAGCAATTTTGGAATATAATATTTGGTATCTATTAATAGAAATGTCTTAAGAAAATGTGTAAAGTAGAAATGAGAAGGAAATTGAGGTACATCACTTGGTAATGAGCTCTTCAACTGCACAAATGTAGAGTAAACACGTATATGTTGAACATCCAAAGGCAAAATGGATGCACAATGCGAAGAGAGATTCCATTTTCAGAGCGCGTGCTTGTCGTGCAACCCACCGGGATTAGCGCCCCGCCGGTAGGCCACGGGCTGGTGCTTGTACTGTAAGAAGTACTGAACGTGTCCCATCTCGTGGTGAGCCGTCAGCAGGTGCTTCATGTCGGGTCGGGTGCACTGCTTCACCCTGGAGCACACCGCAGACCATGTCTCGTGGAAGGAGGTTAACCACTCGGGTGATTTTTTCGTGTATGAAGGAATTCAGATGAAGATGTTTGTCATCGCCTCATTGCCACAAATGATCGTCTCGCCTCAGCCAAATATATTTTCGATTAGGTATTCGAGGTTCAATTTCAGTTGAAAATGGATGAACGTGTCGAAACAGACATTTTACCCTAACTGAACAGGCAGAAATCTTCACAGATCGCATGATTGTATTTGCACTTTTACTCTTTTCTGAATGTTTAAACCAGTGATGATTGCTGATCAAAATATGTAGGACCATGTATTGTTGTAGTGACGTCAATCGAAGCCGCTTGAATTCAACAAACTATCACTACTACAGAAAAGAAAGGAAAATGGAGGTACATCACTTTGGTTACTAGCTCTTCAAATGCACAAATGTGGGGTAAAATGCTGACGATTTCCGTGTACATATCTGCTGAACGACCGCAACGGCGAAATACAAGCAAAGTGTGTGTCAGAGCACGTGCTTGTAGTGCAACCCACCAGGATTAGCGCCCCGCCGGTAGGCCACGGGCTGGTGCTTGTACTGCAGGTAGTACTGAACGTGTCCCATCTCGTGGTGAGCTGTCAGCAGGTGCTTCATGTCGGGTCGCGTGCACTGCTTCACCCTGCAGCACATCGCGGACCATGGCTCGTAGAAAGTCGATTAATATTCGAGTGATTTTTCAGGTGAGAAGGAATTTAGATGAGGATGTTTGTCATTGCCACAAATGATCGTCTCGCCTCCGCCAAATATATTTTCGATTACGCATTCAAAGTTCAATTTCATTCAAAAAAGTACGAACGTGGTGAAACAGTCCCATTACGCAAATTGAACAGGCGAAAATCTCCACAGATCGCATGATTGTATTTGCACTTTCACTGCTTGCTGAATGTTCAGACCAGTGATGATCGCTAATCAAAATATGAAGTAGCATATATTGTTGTAATGACATTATTTGCAAGCGTTTGAATTCAAAATACTATTTTTGCTCAAAACATTTAAACAATACAAGTCGTTTGGTCAAATAAAATTATCTAGTCGCTAGGCGTCTTTTGCTTGTAATTTGCCTTCCTTGTCAACATAGTGGTATAGTTTACTGAAATACAATTCGAATTATTTCTCGTACAACTAATCAGTAATACTAGGGTATGCAAAGCTTATCATGTTCCTTCAAATACACCACATTCCTTGGTCATTCTGATAGGCGATCCCTAAGGTTCAAAAAAATCTAGGATTTGGCACTAACGCTAATAGACAGTCTTTGCATTCAATGACTAAGGCATGAAGTAGATATCAGTTCCGGCGAGATATTTCGGTCTTAAATATTAATCGTTGAAGTATAATTAGATTATTGGTTTTGTTATTTCATTCGGATTCCAGATATTAAAATTACACAGCATTTTCTTTTGTTATTTACTGAATACAACAAGACTACCCCGAGATTAATCAACGATGTTCACAAATGTAGTCCGCAACCGTTCTAAATTCTCACTCGCGCAGTTTCCCTCGTCTCAACCTGTAATGCATTATCATGCTGCAATATCTATATTATTATTTATTTGGGAATTTCGGTTTGCGATTAAGAAAATCGATCCCGAAATCTCGAGGTCGTATTGTTTCTCCCTCAATTGAAACCGCATGAAATTTTCTAATGGCTAAAGGAACGCCTATAATCAGAAACTATCAGAAAAAAAAGGAAATAAGTGCCATATCATATAGTTGTTCCGAGAAGGGCGTTTCTATTTACACAAAAATTAGGTTTGGTAGTTATAAAGTTGGCAATGTACGCTAATAAATACGACTCAAATTCGAAGTTTTAAAATCAATAAGCTTACAAAAAATTGCTTATCTTCACAAATCACAAATCGCATCGCAATTCTTCTTTTGCTGAAGAAATTTGAAATGTTACAATATGAGTAAAAAGTATCAGTTACATATAAAACGAGAAAAAACGTGCTGTTGTAGCATCACAACGTCCTTATGATGACTGCTGTAACGGCGGAGCGAAACGGGTGATAAGTACATAACCACCGGTAGATCGGAGACGAAATGGGTTGCGAGCCAGAATACCGAAGGCCACGAAGTATTAAAACCCAAGATATTACGCTTAATTGCTGACGCAAGTGAACTTGTCGCGAACACAGATTTCAGTGCATACGTTCCCCGCGCGTTCGGCAAAATAACGGGGAAAGACCCACCATGCTCCGTTGCACACGCTGTTTTGCCGGTGAGGGCGGCAATGACCAGCATTGCCGGGGGGGAGGGACGCCCCAGCCCCCAATGTTGGTATGTGAAGAATATTGCAGGTTTTCTACTGAATCCCCCTCCCCTCCCCTGCCCAATAATTTGGCGCTGGCGACACCCACGAGGAAAACAATAGCCTCATGTCCGTGCAACCACCTCCTGCAGCGCGTCTGACGGGGTCGCAAACGCCGTCTTCTACTCTCGTAAGTAATTTCACTAGAGGTTTGAAACTCAGCGGTAAGCAGCGCGAGTCGCATACAGACCACTTAACTGAAAAGTTCCTAACCAGTAGTGGAATTCGATTAGACAATTTTACGAATAAATGTCATATGTCGATAAAATAGTATGACCATAATGTTAGAAAATAGTGGAAAGTATTTCATTGTTGGGCGTTTTAGACATTATATTGATTACAGCAGTTTACGTCACTGAAGGAATATTTATTTATTTATTTTCCGAAACATTTGAACTTCATCATTTGTAAGACGCAAGCAGAAAAGTAAGAAAACTTTTCCAAATCGCGTAGTCCAAAGTATCGTTTCGAGACAGGCCTTTAAGATTTCGGGTCGTTAAGCAAAGTAGTAAAAATTTCTTCACAGAATTGTGATTAAAAATAAATTTATTGATGTTTAGATAATTAGTTTATGTTATAATATACATATTTGGATGATCTAATCCTCAAAAGTATCCTTTTGGACTTGATAACTTTCGTTTTAACACCAACAATATGCTCGGCTTGCTCCAGCGGGTATGTCAATCGCGTTTTCGGCGTTACTATAAAGATGTCGCCGCCAATAAAAATCAGTATTGAACCCCTAAACATGGCGCATAGAATACCATCTTCCGCACGCGAGTATGATAAACCTTTAATGTATTCCTCAGTGAGTTAATAGAAACATATGGAAATTTTTGGGTCAGAATATTACAAACAGACGCAAGCATATCCTCTCGCTACTAATATACACTAAGAATACTGTCATTAGTCCACCAACTTAGTAGCGATCAATACCAATCTGTTATGAAAATGGATTGCGCCCAAAACTACAAAGTGGACGAAACTCGCTCAAATATTAGTATTCACTCTGTGAACGTAACAATTAACGTTATCTTTAACGAGGTAAGACTAACAATTAATACGTTAGCCTACTTTCTTTTCTAAGAAAACGTAAAATGACGATACTGCAACAACACACGAACAAATCAATATTTTATGTACGTACGATTTTGTTGCCAGATTCCCAATAAACGATGATGTATCATTATAGATAACAGATACGCATTTTCATGACGCTTACATACCGCAGACAGGCATAACACTAGCAGTATCAAGTAAACATGTGTCGAAAGTCGCGTATTTTTTCGAGGCGAGATTTCGCCCAGAAGAAAGTACCTGGATTGGCGCCTTCTCGGTACACCACCGGCTGGTGCTTGTACTGGAGGAAGTACTGTATGTGGCCCATCTCGTGGTGCGCGGTGAACATGTGTTCCATGTCCACACGGGTGCACTGCTTGATCCTGTGGCAGACCAACACGCCACTTTAGTACTCCCACACGTGCACCCAGTTCGATCTTCAGTAAACCAACGTGCAGATCATGCGATTCTGTGAGATTTTACGAAGCTTTTGGTTCGTGTTAGGGAAAGTAGTTCCGAAAGTTACACTATAATCTTAATGCACACTCAATCAGGAATATATAACTACAGCATTCTTATTAAAACCGTTGTTAATATCAACGAGGGCTTAGAATAGCAATAGGGGCATGCTCCATCTACATGAAATATCATGTTGCATGCATGATTATTATAAGACTTATGAATTTTTAATCAAAACAATACACGTAGCGTGGAACATGCAAATGCGATATAACTCAACGACCAGATCCCATAGCAGGTGAAACTACGGAGGCGTTTGTGGCGACAATAAGACGAGACAACGTGGATAATGGTTGTGAGGGCTTCGCAAGAGGCACAAACAGAGCCGAAGGTGTTTCATAGGAAGGAAGGAAAGATTCGCAGAACAGGAGTCAGTTGACATAGAGGACAACGCAGGAGCACGGGAGGCGCATAATAGGAGTTTTATCACACGGATGCGTGGCTTCAATGATAGAAAATGATTTGAGCAAGTTTCAAAGCAGTTTCAAGCTGATGGAGCACAAGTACAGCGGTGGGAGAGTGAAGGGAAAACGAGGATGAGACAAGAGGAAAGTGTGAGCGTGTGAAAGGGAGAGGATATCGAAACCACAGATATGGTAAAGGATACGCTAGGGCAGCACAATACACAACTTTTATAAGGACAATATGAAGACAGCGCATAATAGCTTCTTTGGAAATGACAAGACGCTTTAAAATGGGGGGGGTGGTCAACAGTGTGGGGGAGGAGTGGCAATGTGATGAGGTGTATGGATAAGCCTCGTCATCTCCAAGCCCAGCTCGGACCGGCGAGGGTGCAGTATATTTGCCCACACAAATGTGATTGGATCACAGGATGTGTGCGTTGTAGAAGGGACAAAAGGGAAGGTATTCAAGCTGATTACGAGCAGAAGAATTTAATCTTAGATTACGGGGAATGGCACAGTAAAGAATGGAGCGCAGGCATGAACGAGTAAATTCAGGATAAGTATGATGTATTGCGCCAGACGTTTAGAGACCTGAGTTCTCAAGTTACAGAAATCCCTGTGCGGCGAGACTTCCCGCAAGCAGCGCGCTGGTACATCTCTTGGCGGTTCGGATGCTGATGAATCTATTCCGAAAACTACGTCTGGCAGCGTGTTATAGCGCTATTTACAGCGAAATGTCTACTGTCTACTAAACTCGACCACTTTAGCGAGAAGTAATGCCAGGTCTCTAAACGTCTTGCGCTAACCATCTATGCACCAATTCAAACATAGTGGCACTTGAAGGTCACGAGCTGGACGGAGTGTGGTACCATCGGAAGCATTGTTATGATTTAAATGTTCGGTACTGGAGCTTCCAATTGGATGACAATGCCCCCATTTCCTTCCAGCTCGTGACCTTCATTTGCCGCTGTGTTTAAATCGGAGGTGGAGCACAGAGGAAGATTTGCACCGAGGGGCAGCCCCGCGTGGCGAACGTACCTGAAGTCCTTGGCGTCGTAGAAGTCCCAGGCGCTGGCGTGGCACGTGATCTCGCGGTCCGCGGGCTTCTCAAGGATGGAGCGCTCCCAGAAGAGGTCCGGCATGGCGCTCATGTTGAGGGAGATGAAGAACTCCTCCGCCAGCTTGAAGATCCGCAGCGGCGTGTAGCCCTGTGGCAACGAACGCCATTCGATGAAGATGGGAAGTGTGGAGGACGATCACCAGCTCGTGGGTACTCCTAGTTGGTCTACTCGAGGGTTAAACATTTTTAATTCTGACCATATAAAAAAAAATAGACTTATTGGAGCAGTCCGGAAGTTTTTGGATATTTTGAAATTAGGGATTATCAAACTTCAACGCCAAACTTTTCTCATACAAAAAAATGTTTTATAATTTTGGTATGTAATAGCAAAGTTTATTTGTATATTACCCAGAATACTGTATAAGGTGTCTCCGTTTAGAAATACGGAAATGTACGGTGGATATCATGAACCGAGAGCATGATTTCCAAGTAATTATTCAATACATACTACGCAGGAGTTCTCTCCAGTAAACTGAGCCTAAGAACATGTCACCCCAAGAAGAAAGTATCGACAATGCCTGTCCAGCTGTTAAAAAAGAACATTTTTCGGAAAGATGATTAGTAGATGCTTGCAAAGTTGCGTGTGTCCACACTTTCTGCTTACGTAACGTCATTATTCCAACTCTTGGCAATTACTTGGCTGCCACGCTCTCGTGACCATTATCCCCACTTGTCTTTTACCTCGGGACGGGTTTGTCAGTCCTATGACCTATTCGTGCTCTAATACCTCCAAAAACTTTACATTTCCGGGCCCTATATTTTAAGAATTATTTTTCCTTTTCTGTTACAATATTAAGATACAATTCCCCAAAATGTTGCTGTTGAAGTGTGATCGTATGTCCAAATGCTGTATTGAAGTCTGAATATACAGTCCATGTGCTGCGAGAGTAATATTGAGAATATTCAGGGAGAAAGAGACATAGAGAGAGGGAGGAGGGATGAAGGAAGGGAAGGAGAATGGAATGAGTGAGGGAGAGAGATATCTGTAGTCATCAACACGTTTGACAAGACGTCTCTTACCTAAACGAATTTCCAGAGAATAAAACATGCCAAAAGTGACTCATGCAAAGGTTGCAAAAGTAATCCATTCGTAAATCACTGATTATTGCAACACACCCGTCAGCAATGAAGAGAATCAGTAATAATAGAAAGTGACTCGTGTTAAACACAGTTAAAAGCACATACTTTACCGAACAAAATATATTGAAATAATATATTTCCAGAACCAGACCAAAAGCAGTATTAGAGTTCTGATAACGTAATATACAAATTAATTAACTTTGCTGCACTGACGTGGAAAGTTAATGAAGATTAATATGATTATAATTCAATTTATTTTTCCATGACATTTGAGTACTCCCTTTTACCCCGAAGTATATTAAATACGTAGTGCAGGTGAAAAATGATTGAATTAAAACAAGAGAAAAGTATTACCCAAAAGGTTGGCGAAAATGTTAAAACCATCTGAATCGGTGGTTATTTCTTCCAAAAGACTTCCATATACATCCAATCTTACTTTAGTGGTTAATAATGAGATTTAATGAATCATCTCATATTTGCATAGAAAATGTAATTTCCTTGTTAGAACGTCCACACAGAAATAAATTACAAATCCTCTTCATAATGTTAGTTGTTTTAGATGTTATTAGTTATATTTAGCAAACACCAAAGTAACATTACGCACCAGCAATAGAAAGTTACAGGACCGTATCCACTAGCAACAACCTTTATAAGAATAACCTTAAAGAAAACGGGGTTTTCGATTATAACTTAGGTTTATGGAGAGTTTCGTAAAATTTGAAAGACGATGCCCTTTTTAAATGTTTTTTCAATTAAAAAAGAAATAATTATTTAAGATGCAAATACTATATTTCGGGAAGCTGTAAACTATTCATTGCATCTACTTGCAACATGCAATGGAAGATATGCTGAAGATATTTTGTAGTGGGTGGGACTCTATGGATTTCTCTTTTATGAAACTAAAATACTCACCCTTTGGCTGTAAGTAAGTTTTAACAAAAAGTTGCTATTAGTAACTGATGAAGTAAGGGTTCCGTGAGATATAGTTTCAGTACGTATTACTAGAGGGGTGCGCGATCATTACGCAAAAGGATTTTACTAATTTAAAAAAAATTCAATAGGGTTAATAAAGAATAGATGTCGCCAGAAATATTGCAATAAAGGCACACACACTGCTTATGTAAGTTTGTCCGAATTTCTCTAGTAACGCAAGTCCATTTTCACCTTGCGTTACATAGTACGAAAGAGAATGCACTATGCATTCGGTCTAATTATCTGCATCATTATTCTTCACTAAACGCAAAATTACTATGTGTGTATTTTGTTCCCAATACATCCTTAAGCATTCGGTATTAAAAGGACAGAAAATGAAAATATGTCAAACATTTTAATAGGTGAAACCAGAACGGTATTAGTGACATTTTATAAATAAACAGATTTCTCAGAATTTAAGTGATTTTTACAGTAAAGTCGTGGTGCTTTATTTCATTATTAATACCACGACATTTCAATAGTTCATTAAAACCACGAAAATACATTGCCACTGAAATGTAGCCTAAAATAAATACATATTTCTCAGAATGTATAAAATGTCACTGATAGCGTTCGATTTTGTTGCTAGTGGGCGTGTCCCTTGAAGATAAGCGGCGGCCGCGAGCGGCGACCGGTGACAGACAGACGAAAGAAGGCATCGCCGCTGCGATTGGCGGCGACGAGCGCAGTCGCAGGCGACATTCGCACGGGGCGGTCGCAGGAGACAGTCGCGCAAGGCAGTCGCACGGGGCGGTCGCAGGCGACAGTCGCGCAAGGCGGGCGGCCAGGGGCAGAGCACCTGGTGCACCATCTCGGGGGTGACGTCGGCCGGGGGCGTGTTAGGCGCCGGCCGGGTCTCGTTCACCAGCGCAGCCCACGACTGCGACCACATGTTGCCTGCGCAGCAGACGCCACACCTCACTCACCTGCTGCTTGAGCGCGGGCGACACGTCCGGGGGCGGCTGCGCGACGGCCGGCGCGGAGAAGTTGGCCACGTTCTTCCAGGTGGACGACCACATCTCGCCTGGGCACGCGCGCCAACGCCTTTCAGCTCTCCCCGCTCACCCCTTCCCACGAAAGCACTGCTTCCAAAGAATACCTGTACCCTCCTACAGTGCCGGCAGCGCATAAGCGGCCCTGACAGTTCTCTCGCCACGTGCTGCGGTACGTCATGTGATCTGCTCCGAAGCAATCAGCTTGCGAGGATTTGTTTACTTTCTCACAGCCAGCGTACAGTGTAGCCGCTCATCTGACTCGCTTGGAGTCGCGGTGGCGATAGGGTTCGGCTTTGGCAAACGTGTCAAAGGCTGTCAGTAAGTGTTAATATTTTGAGAATTAATTTATGTGTGATGTAGGTGTTGCCATGTGTGTGGTAATGGGCGGAAACACTGAACTGCCTCTTATACGCTGCCAGTTCTGTAATTTAAATAAGTAGGGGTAATAAATAAGTATCTTTCTCCGATTAGCAGATTTCCTTGTAGAATTCAAAATTTCCGTTAAGGCTTATTGTTGCGTTACCTCGCCGGAGAAATTTTCCACGTTTAGAATTCACCGCATTTGACGATCAAACCTTGTGTAAACAAAGACCTTCCTAGGTGAAATAAAGTCGTGAGTGATTAGCGTTTTAGTATGGAAGAGATTCCTCCTCTTGAAGGTTTACACATTATTTACTAAAAAGCATAGGACTATTCAGGAGACCACCAAATTGCTACTAATTAGACTAATTAGATCACCAAATTTGCATTGGATATCTGCGTCTACGTCTTTGCGACTTTTTGGAATCTCTCTTCCAGAATAAAGACCGAATTCGTTTAGTTTGCGATCACCTCAGTAGTAACGAAAGTTTGCCACATTCTGACTAATAGATCTTATCTCACCTGAAAATGCGCGCTTACGATGTAGTTGCAAACAAAGCTCTATATTTATTGTTTTTTCTTAACGAATAGTTTCAAAAAAATGATTATACCCCTCTTTTCTCCCCTAATAAATGTCCCTTAATACTGCAAACGTTTTCAATGTCGATCGTGATAATTCAAGTGAAGGACATCTCGTCCAGAGGCTGCATCTCCGTTTATTTCGAATTAGCACTCGTTAAGCGTAAAAGACCCACCTCCGACTCGAGAACGCCCTAAACGAGCGTTTACAAAACACTTAGTACGTTAACAACGATTACAATAGGTAAGCTATCGCCTGCACATGGTACATTTTTAATTAATTTGTTAACAATGTTTTATCCAATTGTGCATCATTATATCAAGTATTTATAATTTTAATTTACATAATGTTTCGGTATACCTTGAAAAAGAAACCAAAATAGGATTCAAAACGTTGGTACATAAATGTTAAAATACAAACAAACCAATTGTCTATCAATAAATCCTCGACCACCCTCCTATTACACGTTATACAGACAGTCTACCTAACCAATAACAAAGTGTACTTGCTTACATCGTGGCAATTCTTAGGCCGAATAGACCTTAGTAGGCGGCGTCCAGTCGTGCCTGACTCACCGAGCAGATGCGCGGGGATAGGACCGTCCCGCGACACCTCCGCCTCCCCGTACTGCTCCTGCAGCTTCCGGCGCACGTAGGCGTGCAGCTGCTCGTAGAGCGGCCGCAGCTGTTCCCACAGCTCGCGCACTTGGTCGCGGAAGTCCTTCGCTTCGTATGGCTCCAACCACATCTCGGACATGTCGGTGAAATCTGCAAAACGAGAAATGCGCATCTTTAAATCTGTTAATAGAGAAATTAGTCTGTAATGAACGAGTTGGAACAGATGTACGAAGTCAGTGATTGAAACTCATTCATACAGATGAACTTGTGATCCTTGTCAACAGTACCACCGAAGTTTAATGTCGAACAGACTGGACAGAAGAATTCTGGAGATCTCCATAGTGAGAGTGATGGATCAGAATTAAAATGAACCGTTAGTCTTTGCTAATAGATGTCCCGGAGTTCAGTTAACAGGAACAATTAAATGATATCTACAGTATCTTGTGAAGTTAAATTGTTTTGCTCCTTTTATATTCAAGTAGTTCAACATTGTCCGAAGGCGTCTAGTTTCTTGTTTAAATATCATACAATGTTATTTCATTTTCTTTTAAATTAGATAATTGAAGAATGGTCTCCTACATGGGCACCACACTGCACTTGTGAAAACTTTATAAATTAAAATTATGACATATTAAAGCACAGTGCATCATGAGTCTTTTGTGACAATGCTACTCACAACTAAGCGCTTTTCCATAAACTGATTTTGCAGTACGGGGAATTGAGTTCGGGGTGAATTGCAGAATGTGAAGATGGCTATTCACTCCGGAGCACTCTTAAACGGACATGCCGAAGCGGCAAGTTATGCTTGCGGTAGGTTTTAGTGGCTGTGTACGGGTAGCCTACTCACAGTAAATCTCTATCCCCTAAACTGACATCGCGGTTTGGCTTGCGGTGAGTTGAACTGTGGTGCGGAGGTCGATACTCACGATTGATCGTTTTGCATAAATTACCATTCCAGTAAATAGTTACGCTGCGTGGTTGAAGTGGGTGTGGAGATGGCTAGTCACCGTTGAACGCTTTTGCACAAAGGGACATTGCGGGACGGTGAAATGCGCTTGCGGTAGATTGCAGCGAGTGTGGCGGTGACTACTAACTGTGGGTACTTTTACTCAAACGGACATTACGATTCGTCGCGTTGAGTATGGTGTAGATTTCAACTGACAGTACAGTCCACAAATGACCTTGTGATTGGTTTCAGTGGGTGTGGACGAGGATACTCACGGTAAAGTTCTTCCCATTAATTGTCATAGTTGAGTTAGAGATAGGTTTCAGTGAGTTAGGACATGGGTACTCGCAGGATAGCTCTTTCCCACAATTTGACCTTATGCAGCCTACAGATGACCCTGCGGTGAGTTCCAGTGGGTGCGGACGAGGGTACTCACAATAAAGCTCTTTCTCAACAACCTATCGTACAGCCAACAGTTGAGTCTTGAGATAAGTTCCGGTTGGTGTGGATGTGGGTACTCCCAGTATAACTCTTGTATAGCTCCCAGAATAGCGCCATGAGTTGATATCGTGCAGCCTACAGATGCCCTCGCAGTTTGTTCCAGTGGGTGCGAGCCGGGTATTCACAGTAAAGCTCTTTCTCATTAAGAGATATCGTGCAGCCTACAGTTGAGCCTGATATGGGTTCTATTGGGTGTGGACGTGGGAACTCCCAGTATAGCTCTTTCCCATCAATTGATATCATGCAGCCTACAGATTACCTTACAGTTTGTGCCATTGGGTGTGAACGTGGGTACTTCCTGTATTGCCCTTTCCCATTAATTTGATATCGTGCAGCCTACAGCTGCCGTTGCAGTTCGTTCCAGTCGGTGCTGCCGAGGTGAAGCTCTTTCCCATTCCCCGACACTGCGGTGGCTGTGGGGATGGGGGACGGTACTCACTGTTGAGCGCGGCGGCTTCGTTGCTGAGCGCCACGTAGCGCTCGAAGAGGCCTCTGCACTTCTCGCCTGAGGAGCGCCGCCACTCCACCCACGCGTGGCGCAGCTCGTTGGCGTCGCGTGAGTGCGTCAGCAGCTCCACCAGGTCTGCAACGGGGAGGAAAAGAACGTTTTTAATCACTTCTAGTTGAAACGGATACTTTTTTAAGGAATATATGAACGGGTGAAAACCTCAACAGTGTAAGTGACATTTTATAAATTCTGAGAAATGTGTTTATTTAAGACAATACTCGTATTGCTGTAAAGTTGTGGTGCTTTGTTTCATCATTAATACCAAGGAATTTCATTTGTTAAATTGTTAAAGTCACGAAAATGCATTGCCAATTAAATTAAGTCTAAAATAAACACTTTTTTCTCAGAATTTATAAAATGTCAATTATGCCGTTCTGGCTTTCACGCATTCATACTATTATCGTCTTATAAACTTCATTAAGTCCAGAAAAAGATTACAATTAAGAAATTGATACTTAGGCGAACTATTATACCCGAATTGCTGAATTTATGGTCGGACCATCGGTTTGAATGACGAAACAAACCAACAACGGTGCTACAGTAACACATACTTTCACTTATTTCTAAGATTTGAAATTTTCGAAAGTTCAACGAAATTTATATTTGCGACATATTCATGTTCTTTTTTATGCTATGATATACATTTAGAAATCAAAGTGTTTCAATGAAATGTGAAGAAAAAGTGTGTGTTCACAGTAGTAAAAATATTTAAATTTATTTTAATTCGTGTATCATTTCGAAATAAAGTATTTTAATAAGCAATTACCCAGGAATTAATATTACTTTCTATGATCATATTTGGTTTTATAAGCGAGTGACCAAAATGTTGACGTAAAGCAGTTTTTTAACCGATTTATTTTGAACATCAACAAACGCGGGGTTGAAACGAGTATCCAGTACGTTCATTCAGCATGGTGGAGTAATAAGTGTAAACACTGTATCATTTATTTACTTAAAGCCAAAAATGTTTTAAAAAATGTTATTCACGGCGAGGACAATCTGTGCCAATGCTCTTGAACTCTGGGATCATTCATGCATCTGTGAACTCTCATTAACTGAAAAATGTTCTTGAAGCGAGTACGTTCAACCCATTCTCGGTAAATTACATTCTACTAGACACTTATCATTCGTGAAATCCCAGTCAACAGGAAGACGCTTAGTCACGTTTGAGATAAGTCACTTTTTCCGCAGAGAAAAAAGAAAGAATGGATTTGACGACCCGAGAATCATGGTAGGTGTGACGATGACAAGGTGGCAGAGTACGAAAATATATAAAGATGAAGAGGGAAACGGGAAATCGTAAAGTATTAATTAAATAAAATCTAAAACAAAATGAGAGGGACAAATTTAATAAGTAGGAAAGAAGATGTTTAAAACGAATCTGGAGTTGATAAAATGAGCAAGGGAGATGGAGAAAATTAAAAAAAAATTGAAATGTCTACTTGCATAAAAACAGAAAGTTGAGCAAAAAAGTAGCTCCAACGAGTGGCGCCTGACCACGCGAGAAAGCAAAGGGAAGAAAGCAATAGCGTGGAACCTTGGCGTGCGGATGCTGAGGTGGTCTCGCCACCAGCAGCAGCCTCAGTCCGCAGAAGGGGCTGGCGGGCGGGCGTGAAAAGGAGGGGGCGGGCCCGAACGGCGGGCAGGCGGGGACGGTCAGAGAGAAAAAGGAGGAGATGGGAGAGGTATCTCAGATCAAGCAGACACCTTTCCTGGAGCTATTATTGTAACGGCGGTTTCGTTACAGCTTTTGTTTAAAAAGATGGCACCACACACACAATACCACAAGAGGAAATAGGAAAAATTTCTAAATGGACTCAGACCCTTTTTTCGTAAATTTAGAAGGAATTTAAAAATGCCAAATGGTTTTTTTGGATGGGGTGGGGGGGGGAAAATGGAATTTAATTAAGTTAAATAGTGAATGTTAAAATGAGGCCTGGAATTGTAACGTTTTATTGGGCAGATTAAAGGAAAAATTTTGGGAAGTTTTTATGGGGGATGGGTGGGGCCTGGCAACAAGCTTTTGTTAAGAAAATGTTCCGCAATCCAAGTCCCAATTCACGGGTTTTAACCCTCCCTCCCCCAAAAGCCGATGACATTTTTCAAAAGAGTTTCCCACTTTAATCATTACTAGGGAAAAATAAATTAAATATCTTCATACGTTTATGAAATCTATGCAACTATAAAATCAACAAAAATGAAATTTGAGCAAAAAGGGGGGAAAAAATATTTATAAGAAAAACATCTATCAGGCAGAAAAGGACATCTTTTGCTCCCTCGCTCGCAAATAAAAAAATCCTGGTTTTCCGCCCATTGGGTACTTTCCATGAAAATAAGATCAGTAAAAACGCCCACAACTGAAATTAATTCTCTATTGAAATTATTTTTAAGAGTATTCAAATAGGATAGCGTTTTTGTTAATCCTTTCCCCGAAACTTCACGTTTTACTTTTTTTTTTCTTATAATGATTTTTTATACTTGATTCTAAACGACTAATTGGTTTCTGTTGAAGCATTGCTGCATTTTTGCCGAAATGTTAATCTACCGAAATGCCTTGAAATTCGCATACATGCATCCTTGCTTCACGTTTAAGCTGTTTCCTTTCTCATTGGAAAGTCCCGAACCGTGGAGCTTTAAAACAGTTCGTTTCCGCAAGAGTGAAAACTTTGAATTGGTCTCATCGCGGAACATTTCCTCATCCAGTTCCTCTGCCAAGTATTCGTTTGAAGTCGTGGATTTTCAAAGAGACACAGAATCTTTGCGGTCATAGCTTTCTTTTAAATGTTTTATTTCTTTGTTAAGCAAACATACGTCATCTTTTAAAGAGAGCGTTATTTTAGAAGGAATCTCTAGATTGAAGGGTAATTATTTGTGGTGGATTTGTCAGCTTCTTAATTTCTCACTATCAGTGTATTGTAGAACATAATTTTCAAAGCAGATTGACGAGTGTTCTGGTGTTTCACTGGATAACGTTTCTTCGTCGTTTCCATTATAAGGAGCATTTTTGAATGTAATAATAACAAGAGCAATAATTAAAAATACCGACCCGATAATGACTCAGTGCGTAGAGCGCTGGATTCACAATCTGGAGGGTCGGATTCGGGATCCCCGGGCCAGCAATCCTGGAAGGCGGGTGTTATCTTGGATTTTCCTTTGGCATAAGGCGAATGCTGGGCAATGGTTCAAAATCTCACGAATACCTCCAACTATCGCCAACTAACACTTCCTACCACCCTCTCTAGTTCTTTCACCCCTTAAACTCTCTTCTGTAATATAATAAAAATAATAAAAAAAAAAAAAAAAAAAAAAAAAAAAAAAAAAAAAAAATATAAAATAATAATAAAAATTAT